CGAAACCACTGTATTTATTTCATTTTAAACGTACACAATACTTTTAAAGGTTCTATTTTATATGATTGGATAGCGTTACAATCACTTACTGAATAGTGAACCGAAATGCGCACCAATTATTTTAGCATTTATTATTATATCAGCTGTGAGCAAAACAAATATATGACCTGACCTGCCTAAGAAAACAAGATAAAAACTATAAAGTTATCTAGTCAAACCTTAGCTGTAGTTTACCTTACTTGAAAATACTTTAAAATAGAACATATATAGGTAAATGTTTCGTAATAGATATTTATAAATTATCAGTAAACAGTTGGTTTAGCTAATTACATGTCTGTTAACAACAAAGTCTTTACATTTAAAATATACGAACATTTATTTTGAAATATATCATCTGTATGATATTGTAAAGTTTAGTGCTAAATTCTATTTAGTTCAGTTACAGTAATAACAAGGGAAATATTGTAAATACCCGTTTTAAATTATTACCCATTATATACATATCAATTATATTTTGTCACAAAGGCTAACATTATCTTAAACTCCTAGAATTAATTTGACATATTAGTATGTATATCAACCTCTACTTAAGACATATGTTTTATCAGGTACCTAGTATTTAGTTCTAAAGTGTATGTCATTTGTGAACACCGCAATTATGTCATCTTAATGTTTAGATACGGAATAAATGATAATATAGAAATATAAAATTATCGTTAATTTGCAAGGGTTAGCTAAGTAGATGATATCATATAAAAAGTAAAATTATTGTAAATTAACAACACTTACATTGACGAAGTAGTAGTTATACAAACAAATGTGGTCTTTACTTTTGAGCTGTAAATAACATGTTTCAACTAACGTATATTTGTTTTAAAATTGTAGGGTATTATTTTGTGAGAAAATTATGTCTGCTTATAAGGAAAAAAATTATTTACATTGTTAAAGTAGTTACATTGTCTCCACAGCTTACTAATATTAAAATATGATCTAGACTTTGCAATCTTTGTTTAGAAGCTGATGTGTTTGATATTTCAAATTACGTAGTCGAGGGGTGGAGCGTTTCATTGATAGCCTATACAGTATCGACTTGTCCTTCGGTTGCATGAACTATGGAAATTCCATAGAGATCTCTTTCTAACGATGAGTACCTGATTTACGCCGGAGTGAGTAAAAGCTTCTCAATTTGATGCTAAATAAGGGTCGGTAAAGCTCATGATCAGAAAAAATTCTACCGCCCCCCCCCCCCCCGGAACGAAATGAAATTTATATAATTTATATAGAAAATATATACTTTTTAAGTGTCCGCCCCCCCCCCCCCCCCCGAAGAAAGTCTATCCCCCCCGAAAATTTCAAGCCCCCCCCCCCCCCCGGAGAAAAAAGTCTGGAAGAAACACTGCTCATGATTGCTAAACCGAAAAGTTTCGAGTTCGAACCCTCGGGCAGGTGAGGCTCGTTAGCTGGGGACAGCAACTCTTCTAAGAGAGACAACTCCAAAATTAAACCTACTACTACATGGTAGATTGGTCTTGATTCGACAAAAATGAAAATCAGGCTGCAATAAGAGTCAACAGCCTATACAGCTCAAAACAAGTTGACACGTAAAACTCAATTTTGTGCAGGGAATCCCTTCAACCACTAGAATAAGAACGGAGAAGACGAAAAAGACCGATGCTAAATTACTCGTTTAAACTAACTTAACATTAATGAACCTTTCTGCGTTGCAAACAGTTCATTGAACTATGGGAGTATTCCTTTTACCGGGGTCTTGTATTTGACTCTTCCCAAAATATGTATGTTAATTTTCTAATAAGATTTTATCACAAAGTTTAGGGTTAAGGCAATGTTTAAGGGTTACGAGTATTCAGTGTAATGTTATTGGTAAGGTTAGCGTTAACTTTAGACTGTACTATCACTAAACTTACAATCCTTTTTTTTAGAAGAATCCTTCATCGCGTTGAGTCAGGTTTGGGTGCTTGATCTTTCAGCTCCACTGCCGCTACTACTAGACCAGAGGCGTAGCGAGGGCGGGGCGGTGGGGGGGGGGTGTGCGGACCGCACCGGGTAACACCCGACCTTGCGACGCCACTGTATTAGAATATACACAATAATTTTGATTATTTATTAGTTTCCATGTTTCTAGATTACATATTGCCATCCAAATCTTACAATTAGCAACCACTTCCTTCAGCACAAATGTAGTATCAAAATATTTAATGTTTATTACAACCTTTTCATTTCGTTTAGATTTGTTTTTATTCCCAAATAAATGTAACATCTCGTTAATTCACATAGTCAAAAGCAAACTTAAAAACCTAATGTTATCATCCAAGAAGATGTTCATTTTTATTAAATTTTAGTCTTGAAGAATAACCATCAAATAATTCCGAAACTATTAATTCCTGAAAATTTTAACCCAAATTGAATTTTTTAAAAGTAAACGTCAAGTTCTCCTTTATTACCTGACGGTCTACGGGGCAAGTGAAGTAGAGTTCACCTGCTTCTGTGACCTCGGCATATGAAGAGATAGTGTGGTCAGCACTATGCCCAGCCGCCTTTACTTTCCCTAATGTGAGTTAGTTACCCATCAGAGCTGGGTGGACTCAGGGCAGGTCTACTGACTTGAATCTGGATTCGAACTCGAGGCTACCAAATTGAACTTATTACAGCAGATTAGAAGAAAACGAAAAGTATATTTACATTTTTTTCACTCGTGTTCAGAGGCGTAGCGAGGAGGGGGGGGGGGGGGCGAGGCGACGGGGGACATATGTCCCCGGGCGCCGACCTTAGGGGGCGCCAAAATGGGTTGGAAAAACAAATTGAACGTTTGAGAGGGGGGTGGGGTGTGCAAATCGAAAGTTTGGGGGGGGGGGGGGGGTGCAAATCAAAACTTTGTCCCAGGGCGCCGGGAAGGGTCACTACGCCTCTGCTTGTGTTGACAACGTATGGGACATGTTATTTAAATGTGATATAATACATTATTACATTCTACGTTACTTTATGTTTCTTGTTATTTCATATTTATTCCTTTTCATATTTCATTACTAATTCTTTTATCTCTGCCGCACATTATATTTCAAAAATATTTTGTAATAACATTACATATCGTTCTAGCAACTACACACAATATGAACCAACACCAGTGGCGTAGCGAGGTCGGGTGTCACCCGATGCGGTACTTAATGGTGTCACCCCCAGAGGCGTAGCGACCCTTCCCGGGGACAAACTTTCAAGTTCTCGATTCGCACCCCCCCCATCTCAAACTTTCGCTTTGACCCCCCCCCCCCCTCAAGTTTTTCTTATATATTTTGCTATTTTTTGCCTTGGTGTCACCCCCCTAAATGGTGTCACCCGGTGCGGTCCGCACCCCCCGCCCCCCCCCCCCCCCCTTCGCTACGCCCCTGACCAACACCATCACAAAACTTTTTCAACCAGTTTTCATTTTTCAAATATTTATTCTAATCAACATTTAAATTTAAATAGGAAAAAAAACGAGTAATTTTATTTAAAGAAATGCCAACACAAAATATAAACCAACATCATCACAAAATGTTATCAACTAGTTTTCATTTTAACGTATTTATTTAAATCAGAATATTGAACTGGACAATTTTTTTAATATTATTTATTAAAGCAATGCCTACATAATCCATTTTAAGAACAAAAAATGTCACATTGTACTAAGTAAAATAAGATAATTAAAAATGGTAGGCTATCTGTGTTGAGAGACGGCATGGCCTATTGGTAGAGCGCTAGACTGTTAACCCAATACTTCGAGTTCGAATACGGGCTCAAGTCAGTACAGCGTTTCTGAGTCCACCCAGCACTTATTGGTACCTAATAAAGGTGGCTAGGCACAATACCCCCTCTTAGGCCGAGGTCACTGAAACAGGTGAACTCTACTGCCTCTTCCCTTTGTGTCTTGGTCACGAACGGAAAGGATAATAAAGTGTTTAAAAAACATAATTACAAGTAACAATAAGGTCAAGACTGAAAGTTAAATGCGATATTATCGAACCATTTACTGAATCAAGAACTGACTATCGTGTACATGGGATTTCCTGTTGTAAGTTACATTTTGTTACATGTTACAATTTTAAAATAAATCCACAAAGCATAAACTTTCTCGAATATTCTTATATAAAATAACAGGGGATGAGAACTCGGGCTATAGACATGATTTTTAATCCATTTTAAATACTTAAAGTTTTAAGAATAGAATAAAATATCGTAGACAAAAGAATTGCACACCAAGTGAACGCCAAATAAAAAAGTGCATAAAAGTGCGCAATATTATTATTACGTTAAAAATTTACATTAGTTTTTTGACAAAACGGAAGTAGCGTAAATTACTACTTCCGGTCAACGGAAATTACTCAAAATTTAACAGAAGGTAGAACATTAGATCTTTTACTCACATGTGAAATTTCATTTATCTATCTGAAATAGTACTCAAGTTATAGGCTTTTGAAAAATTCAAAGTAGAAAAAGTACCACTTCCGGTTATCCGAAATCGCTCAAAAGTTGATACCGATCTACGATTTTGATAAAATACTTATATATGAAATTTCATCAACCTAGCTGTAACGGTACTCAAGTAATCGTGTTTACACACAGACAGACACACAGACAGACAGACAGACACACAGACATACGGACAGAATTGCAAAGCCAAGTTTCTCAGATTGGATTACGCATAAAACCTCGTAATTTTGATAAATCTGGATTGATATTTTTTGCCCGATCAAAATAAGTCCTCTATATTTCGGATGTGATGAAGGACTGAGGTGTAATACGGTGAAAAATGTTAAAATTTCAAGAGATGTTTTTGCACGTTTACAATACTTTCTCTATACTTCGTATATACGAGAAAGTAAAAAGCAATAAAAACTACAGCAATAATTCACTATCACCAAAGCATCCAGGAAATAAGTTTTTGAAAAATTTTAATATTTTTTTAGTAATTTGAATTCTGTCAAATCGTACCGTCAAATGTTCCCCGATATAACTACCAAAATAACTTCCCATATCACTACCCATATAACTACCCATATAACTACCAAAATAAATACCCATATAACTACCCATATCACTACCCATACAACTACTCAAATAACTACCCATATAACTACCCATATCACTACCCATATAACTACCAAAATAAATACCCATATAACTACCCATATCACTACCCAAATAACTACCCATATAACTAACTACCCATATAACTACCCATATACTACCCATATAACTACCCATATAACTACCCATACAACTACCCATATATGTACCCATATAACTACCCATATAACTACCCATACAACTACCCATATACGTACCGATATAACTACCCATATAACTACCCATATAAATACCTATATAACTACCCATCATATAACTATCCATATAACTACCTATATAACTACCCACATAACTACACTTATAACTACACATATAACTACACATATATTATCTACATATATAACTACCAATATAACATCTTGATTACCTGCACTCTGAAATACACGACAGACAAATCGTTAAAACATTTACTGATGTATAGACAAATGGGTAGGCTAGGAATATGAAGAAATGGGTGAGTTCGTCTTTTATGTGTTACATCGCCTTGCATAAAATCACCATGGAACTTTGAGATGTTGTTGAGAATACTGCTGGGAAGGTTCAGGCTATTTAAGAACATTAATATCATTCCCCCGAGGCCCATATCGGCTCTTAGTTGGCCCTAAAATAATTTGAATTAAAAGGAATAACCCAAGCTTGGAATATATTGCAAAACATTTGATTGAAAATTATGTTGCAGGGGAGACAACTAAAAATTATAATACCAATAGCAGTAACTAGGGTAAATAAAGTGTGGTGGGGAAATTGTTTTAATCGTCTTGTTCATAATATTTAAATAACTACAATGCTCATGTTAAAATTGGTGTGAAAGTTGCATATTTTGATGAAATAAATATTTTTATGTTTCCAAATTAACCAATTAATCACATTAGTTCTATGAGAATCAAATTTCTACATAAAATATTTTAGATTTAGCTTATCAATTTTTTTTGTGGGTCGCTCGGGATTTGCTTAGAAAACCCAAATTCTATTCTTTAAAAAGTGATAATCCCTTGAATTTAAAATAAACACAAAAAAATTAATGCCTTGAATCATTATTTAATTACAAATTTGCATTTTCAGGTGTTTTTTTCTTTTTTAAATATAATATACGAGCCGACCCGCGGCGTATCATACGCCGCTATTTAGTTGTGTTATTTTCTACTTTTCAGTAATTCATAATTTGTGAATTCGACAGTACTAATGCTGCCACTGAAAATATTTGCTTTAAAACACTAACCCCCCCCCCCCCCCTTTCCCCCAACCCCTACCCTACATCCCCCCCCCCGTGAAAGCAGCCTCCTCTTAGTTACCTCCTCTATGTTTAAATCTTTTCAAACTAAATTATCTGCCCCTAATAGCCGTCACCAAACCCGTCTCTATGATTGTAAAATATAAACAGCGTGACCACAGCTCACCAGATCGTGTGGGGTGGGGTAGGGGTGGTAGTGATAGTGATAGAGAGGAAGAGAGGGGACTGCAAAGGCGCGCTTGCAGCTTGCTTTCTAACGGCTCCCAGAAGAGAATTATATATATTATAGATAATTGTATTAGATCTATGTATAAGTAAACCATCTTTAACAGAAAAAAAATGATGGAAACTGTAATAATTAAGCGAAAATGCAAGGCAAACTGACGCTGTAAATTACATGTTTGGGGCGAAAAAAATAAAATAAATGTGCAGTTCAGAAAAAGAAAAAAAAATCATAGATTTGGTTTAAAATTAATTTTCTTTAAATTAATAATTTGTAAATAAAAGACTACAAGAAAACGGTTTGTCGTCAGCACTTTACAACTCAAAGCACCATCCCATTACTCCGACCTTACATTTTGTAAAGCCTATTAACCTCAAATTAATATAAATGCAGGGAAAAAAGATTAAACAAACACGGGAAATAACCTATGAAAAACATCAGTTTTATAAATACTTTTAACCAACTTGTCTAATAGGAAGTTACTATTTCACAATTTCGGCGTGTATAAATCAGATAAAGAAGTTTTTAAAACACGATTATATCAGGCCCGAAATGAACTAGACTGTTAGACCATATTTTTGTGTGACTTGCCTCAAGATGGATATACTTTGCAATTAAATAGGTTAAACTACTAAATAAGGAAAAGGTTTAAATAAGTGATTTAAAATGTAGTGACACAGTATATATATATATATATATATATATATATATATATATATATATATATATATATATATATATATATGGGAGGGGAAGAAAATGATTTTTTGCGGGGTGCCTTTTTTTTTTCAAGTTCCGCCGCTGGTGAAATGGTGACTTTTGTAAACTTCTTTGTTTTTGTCAATGTTTTAAAACCCACGTTTTTTGTTTGAAATTTTTTTGTTGAAGTTTGTGACGGGGTAAACAGTCATGAAATCGGTATTAGGGCAAGACCAAGTGTTATATTCACCGTTAAAAATACTATAAAAACAGAACATTTGAGTGTCTCGGGGTAAGGTTAATACATACACATTCCCAGAATAAATTGGCATGTATTTTAAATTTTGTGTTAAAATATAACAATAACAATAACAACAACAACAACAATAACAATAACAGTTACAGTTAGAATAAGAATAAGAATTAGAATTAGATTTATAAATTCAATTACGTAAATAATTATAAGCTATTCTTAAAACTCAAATTGATTTAAAAAAAAATTAATTGTAAAAAGCATTTTACAATTACATTTATTACGTTTTCGATCCCGGGACTTTTCGGCCGGCTGTGATACTCACAACCATACGACCATGCAATACCTCTATGTTTTGCTGTTGCTAAACAAATGAAAGTAGCACACGTTTGCCCATGTATTACTTTTTAGATTTATAAACAGCCCATTTCAACTTCAATTCTTGCCAGATCACTATGACTGGATTTAAGGCCGAATTTAACGGCAACACAAACATGAACAACCAGCCGATTCGATTGGGATTAACGTTAAGTCCAGCTGCCAACCTCAGGCCTGTCACAACCACCATGGAGCGACAGAACAGAGTTGACACAATGACAAGTGACAGTGTTATGGTGTCTGTCATGTCACCGTTACAAAAACTTCCATCAATAAAAATTAATTTAAACGTCATCATTAAACCAATTAGTGTTAAGCCTATTTCTATGCATGTCGTTAAAATAAATGTGATAAAAGAATACAACCAGCCTATTTCGTGGTTGCTATCTAAACGGAAGACGATACACATACTGTTTGTAGAGTAGGTCTGTAAGTCTGGGATAAAAACTGGGATAAGCGAGGTCAAAAAACACAAACACCAGATACAGACGCAAGGCATCACCGACTTAACAGACAAAAGTCTGCGTTCGGCTGTTTTAATTGCTCATTAAGAAAGCACATCTATCAAATTAAAAAGTTTGAAAATATTTCCCAGGTTAATATTGACATTATGACAATATGATTTGATTTAGTGTGTGCTTATTAAGCAAGCACATCTATCAAATTTAAACATTTGAAAATATTTCCCATGTAATTAGTGACATTATGACAATATGATTTGATTTAGAGTGTGCTCATTAAGTAAGCGCATCCATCAAATTAAAACATTTGAAAATATTTCCCAGGTAAATATTGACATTATGACAATCTGATTTGATTTAGTGTGTGCTCATTAATCAAGCACATCCATCAAATTAAAACATTTGAAAATATTTCCCAGGTAAATATTGACATTATGACAATATGATTTGATTTAGTGTGTGCTCATTAAGTAAGAGCATCCATCAAATTAAAACATTTTAAATATCGTCCGGGTACAGAGAGCGAAGTGTCAAATAGTTTGGGAGTCGTTGAAAGCCCCGTACTGTTATATCAGTTGTTTTCCTTGACAGCCAACGAAAGTCCTTTTTTTTTCAGTGAAATCACTTTCCTGTTACCACTAATCAATTTGAACTCACTAAACAAAGTAATCAATCATGAAGGGTACTTATTTTTATTTTTGTGACATTGGTTTATCTGGAAAAGGATGGATAATTAAAAAAAAATACCGGCATGTTTTACTACAAAAACTGATATATTTGCTCGAATGTGCATAATTTCCTACTGACGACTGATAATTTCATGGTAAACTCACTATTTACTTTATTCAACAAGTGACGCTACTTTAACAATGTTCAAGCGCATAACAGTCATTGTTACCTCCCCTGTATAATTTATCCTGCGCTACACTTGTTTATATTAAAAATGCAATATTTTCTTGTAGTACTAATATTATTTATCTTTCATGCATTTATTTTTTCTTCTGATTATCTAATACAGATTTATTTTTCAATACTTTTTTTCTTGGTATGCTGAAGTCCAGTGGCTTATAACTACTCACTATAGCTTACTTTAATCAAACCTAAATTTAGTGTGAAAAAAAATGAAAATTAAAAACAGCTACAGAGGCATGTTTAGTTTAGACATTTAGTAAAATATTGGCTTTGGCGTTGATTTAAGTTATTTATAGCGAATAAATCCAGAGAAAATTTGATGATTTGATAAAGTAAATAATAAAATTAATGTGATTACTACATAATAATTAATTTAGTAAAGTACATTAATTGTCTCTATCAATTCAAATGCAATCTTTTCAAATTTTAATCTTTTCCTTTTAGTTTTATTCACTCTTAATTTAATTACAACTAATAATTTGAAACTTGAGCTAGGATAATTATTTAAGAAATGTATTTCATGCCACAGAATAATCAGATCTATATGCTGTAATTACTTCCACACTTAGTATTTGTGGTTTAGCTTTAAACAAAGTCTATTGCTGTTTGTTTTAACATTCATGGTATTGTTTAGACATTAATCAAATGTTATATTTTTTCTTGACATTTTACCTTAAAATCTTTTCATTTGTATAAATATTGAAAATTAGAAAACAATAAGACATTTAAATCATGCATTAGGTGATGTGTTGTGTGTGTTTGAATGTGACAGTTTACCATCATTGTATGTGCAGGAGTCTTTCCAGCAGGTATACTTTTGTAGTCCTGCACAAGTACTTGTACACACAGTACAGGCACTTGTGTACACAGATAAACAAGTATATGTGTATTCAGGTGTCTTCACACTACTAAACTGATGTTCTAACTCAAACAAAGATAAATCAACAAAGATATTATGGGTTCAAGTAGCTAAGATAACTAGCCAAACATTCAAAATTTGAAAAAAGCTACTGTAAGGGAAGTAATTTTGATTTTAAAAAATCTTTGTTAGGATTTTAAGGATTGATTTTCACCAAAATATATCATTGTTAAGTATTGCCAGTAAAGACATGTTAATCCTATATATATATATATATATATATATATATATATATATATATATATATATATATATATATATATATATATATATATATATATATATGTGTGTGTGTACTGTTTAAGAAAAAACAACAACTCAAAACTAAATAAAACATTTTTTGAAATTCTGTAATAACTAAGAAATCCTTGTTACTTTCATGTAGGCATATAGGCCTACTTTTTTAAAGAACAAAGTCAAATAATGCTTTAAATAAAGTAGGTATAATTTCCTATGAAGCCACAAAGTTACATACATCTTCAACATTCTTAAATTTTCAATCAAAACATTGATATGATTATAATTATAATGTATTTTTATTGTCCTTTTTATAAAACATCAGTCGCACAAAAATTAACTAAATCATGCTATCTCAAAGAAAAAAAAAATGCCTGAATTCTAAGAATATAGATCTAATATTTACAACATATACAGCTTTGTTGATCTGTGTTAAACACATTAAATAAATGTGAATAAAATAACAAGATGATCACATATCTACTGGTAAAACATCAATCAAATAGTAACCTGAGTAAAATACAGATCAATCAAAATTCCAGTTATATTTCTGTACATTATGTAACTACATTTGAAAAAAAGACAACAATTTTGAACAAAATATTCTTCCAATTCGTTCTTAATTTTAATGTTGGAAGGGATCCCCTCCAACACAATTGAGTATACGTGTCAACTTGTTATGCGCCATTGAGGCCATTGACTCGGATTTCAGCCTGCTTTTCTTTTTGGATTTGCTTTCATAGCCTTTGTCCAATCAAGAACAAACTACAAGGCAGCAGTTGTTTAATTTTGGAGTTGTCTCTCCTAGAAGAGTGGCTGTCCCCAGCTAGTGAGCCTCATCTGCCCGAGGGTTAGAATTCAAGAATTTTTTGGGTTTAGCAACCATGAACTTTACCAACTCGACCCCCTATGAATGAAATGATGAACTAATATTGTACCTATAATTTCTTACGTCTTGTCCAGCCCCACACTGCTGTAGTTGACCTCACCATTGCAGCCGCTGTGGACGTGATCAAAACACCAGTTCCACCATCCCAGGGTGTAGACCAGCGCCCCACTGCTACCTGGGCAGGTGCAGGTTGTATAAGTGTACCTGGTTTTGTCCGCGCTGTGTTGAACTTTCTGAATCCACTGGCCTACACTCAGCTGTTTCGGACAGCCGTGGGGGTGTGAAACAATCAATGCCAGCTTGTCCACATTTCGGTATTCTAAATAACGTTTGTGAAGCTCCTTACTTAATTTATCAAACTCATTCACAATTTTCCTGACATTTTCCACAAACTCTGTATCATGCGTAACGCACAGAAGAATACAACTATCCTCTTCAATATTTTTCCTCAATATTTTCAACCCTTTCAATGTCGCTTGTTCACTACAGCTGCTGTTAAACCCATACACACAACTAGTTTTGAGCGCCTCGTCGTCATTGAAAACTAAATGTGTGGCAGTCAGAACATGTAGTTTTCCCCAAGAGTATTTCGGTGCTTCAGATTCTGTACACTCACTACAAGAACACACTGTGTCAGCTAATGTGTTGTCGTTGGACACACCAAGTATAGTCCCAGTCCCTATTCTAAGAACATCACTACCTCTGAGCTTGTAAAATGGATATGGAATATCCGTGCCGTGGGTGAACTCAGGTCTCGTGTGACTAGTGTACTTGACCTTTAGCATCACTGTCAACTTGGCGAGAATGTTAATCAGGTTGAGAATTTCTTCGTTGGCATAACGTTCAGGAAGAAATTTAGTTGATAAGGAATGTAAGGGAAGAAACTGTGCATGACCTGGATTTTTTTTACAACCGCTGTAGTGTTTATGGAGGTCTGCTTCTCCCTGCTCACATACCTCAACCTCATATGTACCTGCTGATTAGAAAAATATCATGCATTATCAATCACCTTTGCTTCATATGCACCTGCGGATTAGAAAAATATCATGCATTATCAATCACCTTAACCTCAATATGTACCTGCAGATTAGAAAAATATCATGCATTATCAATCACCACAGCTTCATATGTACCTGCGGATTAGAAAAATATCATGCATTATCAATCACCTTAGGCTAATATGTACCTGCTGATTAGAGAAATATGTATTATCAATCACCTCAGCCTCATATGTACCTGCTCATGTGATAAATATCTTGTGTTATTAATTTTTAAAAAAGGCAAGGTACAATAGTTGTAATGTGGTGATATTAACAATAAACCTATTTTATACAATTTAGAATTGAAGAAACAGTTTTCTTTTTTCACATTGGTCATAATTAAATTGACTTATCAGCAACATACTAATACAATAATAGCATTTAAATGTGAAAGACATGAGAAAAATAGCATTTAAAATGTGATACTAAACGCGTTATTATAACTATAAAATAGTTTAAAGTAAGATTCAAACAGCATTAAAGGGAATTTCAAGACTGTCCCATACCCAGCCCAACTTTCTTGACTTTATTAAACAGAAAACTACTAGTTCCTTGACAATACTTACAAAATATAAACTGCTGGGGTTATAATAAAAAGTTTTAACAAAAGTAGAGTTTAATTTCTCTTCTAGACCAATGGTTCTTATGGCAGGTAAAGAACATGGGATATGATCTCAAGACTTTTATGTTATCCATTTAATTCGCTACCACATATGAAAGATGCCATTATGTTTTTTAATAAATTATTAACAAAGGCTTGGCTAACATTTTTAATTATTAAATAAAAGGTTAATATATTCTTGTAGTTTTAGAAATTTTTTACCACTCAGTAGTTTGATTTTGAAATTTATCTCAACTGAGGGTCTGTGTAAATGGAATAGATCATGACAGCCTCATGTCATTATCTTTTAAATTTTTTCAGATGCTTTTGACTGTTGACACTGAATGTGTAATCTGATGTGTGGGAAATTTAAAAAATGTGTTTAAACTCTGTCCCCAAAACACCCTACTCAGAGAAAAAAATTGCATGGGCAGCTCGTGAATCTTGAGACAACCATGCTATACACCTACAACGTTTACCTTGTTCGAGTTTTGGGATAAAAATAATATTAAGAAAGATAAAGGAGAAAAATGATACATCAAAGTCAACATAAAATATTAGACTGAATTGAAATATATAACAGAATGGGAAATTCTCAACTGATTGGCAAACATAAACTAAATGGGAATAATTTTAGAAAATAAATGTTGGTCCCGTCAATTAATTACAAGCAATTTGCTGATTATAACAGAGTATTTAATTTTTTACATATAACTTTTAGGCCTACCTTGTTCTGTAGGAATAGGTGACATTATGTTTTTAAAGTTGATACTAGTTTGTCCTAATAGAAAATGAATGAAAATATAATTATTTTGCAATTATATATAAGGGAAATTGGGTTAAAACCTACTTACTAACAACAAGCAGAACACTTTTAATTTTAAAAATAGATCTAGATCTAGCTGAATTGGATAATTTTGCAATATCCTACATCATTTCAAATTAAAATAAAAGAAGTACAAAAGGGTCAGCCTAATATTGAAAATACTAACTAATGAAAGTGATATAGTAGCCTATTGTGAGTAGTGTACTTAAATACCTTTACTTTTATTTTAATTAAGCCTAAATATTTAAAAATATTTAAGTTTAATTGGAATAGTATAGTTAATAACTACTACTACTAACTATACTTGATGGTAGATCTATGTTTTAGACCAGCTTTAGACAACTGAATCATTGATTAAAAAAAATGTTTAAGTCTTAGAAATTGGACGATCTAACTTAGTCTAACTATTTTGATAATGATTAAACTTTGGTAATCTATTGTTTTAGATAGGGTAAAGGAGGGCGTTAAGAGCCACACTTTTTAGCACCTGTACATTTTTAAAGATTTCTACTAATCTAAGAATTTTTTAGAATTGAAAATATGGCAAAATTATTCTAACATATCTTACACAATATAAAAATAATAACAAAGTCTATTAAATATACTTTAAATGGGTTTAATTGAACATTTATTGTCATACCCCCAAAATCAGCATTTGGGGTGAAAGGAGCCGGGCAATGGGGCAATAAGTATTATCTCCTAGTTTAGACTAACTCCGCAATAAAAATAATTAATTTCTAACCCCAAAATAGTTAATGCTGTGTACACACACTTTAACTGATACTAGCTATCACTAGGCCCCAATGGGCCCAGACTACAATTGATACAATTGCAGGTGTACATAGGGCCTAAAGTCTAGTAGTTTACAGTAGGCACATTAGTATGCCTAGTGTGTAGCTAGTATACTAGTGTGTAGCTGTCCAGAGTTAACATTCTTGTATGTAAAAAGGGTTGGTACTAACTAATCTGCCATAATGCTTTCCCCTGATAAGCCATGTGTGCTATACATTACATAACATGACATGGAGGTGAGAAATGTTGAGGGGAGAGCAGTGGTACTGGTTTCCCCTTTGTTCTCCTTGCTGGACCCTGAGGGCCATAAATTACATAAGGAGATGCTATCTCTGGTTGGCTGAGATCTAAGAACTAAGTCCATGTTACCTACAAAGAGATAAGTTTTATGGTGGGTTAGATACAGGTGGGGGCTGGGTATCATGGGGGTGAGAAATTGTGAGGGGAGAGCAGTGGTACTGATTCCTCTTTTTTCTCCTTGCTGGACCCTGAGGGCCATACATTACATAAGGAGATGCTATCTCTGGTTGGCTGAGATCTAAGAACTTAGTCCATGTTACCTACAAAGAGATGAAGTTTTATAGGGTCTGGCTATCATGGAGGTGAGAAATTGTGAGGGGAGAGCAGTGGTACTGATTCCTCTTTGGACTCCACCCTGCTAGACCATGAAGGTCATATATTACATAACATGCCACCCAGATTGTCTGAGATCTGTAACTGTAATCCATGTTACCTACAAAGAGATGAAGTTTTATAGTGGGCCAGAAACTGGTGGGGCCTGGGTATCATGGGGGTAAGAGGTATACCATTCGAATCGTCCTTAGAGGATTTCATAGTGTCAGCAGCCAACCAATCAAACGCGCGCTTTCTCCGCGTTTTGGTTGGCGGCTGACGTCACGATGACGTCACGCGACGCGTTTTTGGAGCTAAAAAGGGCCGAAAAAGCCATTTTTTTCTACGTGTAGTTCGGATTTTTTTACGTTTTTTAAAATGGGCCCGAAAATGACACTTTTTAAAACTGGACTTAGCCATTTTTTCAAACAAATTTTTCGAAAAAAGGCCGTTTTGGGCGATTTTTTGATGTAAACAATGGCCTAGGTCAACACGTGTCAAACCACGTGAAGGCACCCAATCGACGATTTCGGTCACGCATGAGTGGTTTTCATACGTTCTCGTGAACTAAATACCAGTTTCTTGACAACAAAATGGAAAACGACAATTTCGTGAAAATAACGACCCTAGAGGAATGGCTCTTGAAGAGTATTAAATAAAAATCGGTGTGTTGGCTCTATGTATTGATTCTAAAGTTGTCTATAATTGACTAGTAGGGCATGCTGAAACAACGGCCTGAGGGCGCCGTGTAGTGTGTAGTTTCGCTAAATGTAAATTAATCAGCCCAGCCGCATCAATCGCAAACTGTTAAAATGGTTGGATGTGAAAAGCTTCTACTTACAAATTACTTCTGAATAATCACATCACACAAAATAATCCCAAAGAAAGCACAAAATAAAATCCTTTAGAAAAGTATCACCATGAAATTTGAAAACCACAGTTTGTCAACCTTAACCAGCCATCTTTGGCTCGATCTAGAGGTCATCCTTTAGCCTACACATGTGTCTTGTCAACCAATTTAGTTTCTGATGGTACACGACATTTAGATACATATAATATAACAAACTAACTGAATTCCAACATTATATCCATCTAATCCAATATTGAAACAGAATTTGAAGCACAATGATCTAACGAATAAATCCAACTCTATGCGAGTGTCGCAGCTTTAGTCCTGGATACAAGCATAGTGTGTAGTCGTGTTGTGAGTAAATTTGCACGAGATACAACACCGACCTAGACCTTCCTGATGTGTATGGCCCCAAAGTGCTGCGAGTAGGGGAGGGCAATTTAACACCAGAATATTTTTTTTTTCAATAGTTAGGTCATCAGTAGTTCACGCGGTTCACCAGTTCACGCATCCTAACGGGGTTGAAAGTGTAACTTTAAATTGAACTAGGTGAGAGGAGGAGGGTGAGGTCATTAGAACAACGGAGCTATATTTCTAGTAGAAGAATACGGGGAAATCATAGCTTGAAGTTTGAAGCCGGCATTTCATTTTTTTCATTGTTATTGAGTACAGTCCTTTAATGCACGACTAGGCTACTCATTATGAAATCTAAAAATGTAGTTGTGCTACCATGCAAAAGTAGCCTAATAGGTCTTGTTTATTTAAATGCAGATCCTGTTAGCCTAAAAATATTTGAATACACATTTTAGTTATATCGTAATGATTAATGTTATAATACAATGCATATATTCTGATAGTCCTTCAAGTTTTTGGGCAATCCATAACTTGTATTTCAAATTTATAATGAGCGGGATGCACTCGATGTTTTAAGTGCTACATTCGGTAGCTGTTACTTTATGTATGACAGCATCCCAATAGTTCACTGTAAATATAAACTGAGCTTGACAAGATTCCCATCGCCAAGCAATCGTATGATAGACCCAGCAAGCATCACTCGTTAAATTCGACATCATGGCTATACCAGTCCTTGATTTTCATTACAGCCTTTAAACGCCTAGTTCTTGGTTTTAAAAAAAAAAGTGTCTCCCCCCCCCCCCCCTCCCCGCTTGCGCCGACGTCATCATAGGCCAATACCATGTTGCGATTTTTTTAAACGGATATAACACACCCCTCTCCCCCTCACAGCAAACGCCAACAACGTCACCGAAGGCCCAAGGCCAATAACACGCACCACGTTGGATTTTTTCTTCAACGAGTATATACCCTACCCACCCGCCGCCTTACAACATACCGCATGTCTCTACGAACGGGGTTAAAAGTTTAACTTTGAGTTCAAGAAGGGGAGGGGGTGGTATTCAAACAACGAAGGTGTTTCTTTATAGTACAAATACATAGTTAAAAAAATTATACTTACCGTAACTTACCTACTGCTATAGCATCATACATAATTTTATAAATTAGCTAATTAATTAATTAACTAATTAAATATATCTAATGATAATGAAGGGAGATAGTTTATTTTGGTTAAGGAACGACACACAACACTGTGCGTGCCTGGTATGTGGCCTGACCGACCTAAAAGGAGATTGTTTATATTATTGTTTTGAGTTTATATTTAACTCAATGCAACGAGCCCGCCGGTTGGCTGAGGCCACGCCGGGGGGACGATCTGTCCGGGATTCAAAGGGACGACTCGAAATATCATCCGATGAGGCGCCTAAAAACTTAAGATTCTTAAGATTTAAGATGCTATTTTAATAAATTAGATCTAGATCTAGATTCTACATCTAGATCTAGATTCTAGATCTAGAAATTCTAGTAGATCTAGTAGTAGTACTAAGTACTAGATCTAGATCTAGATATTACTAGATTCTAGTAGAATGTAGATCTAGATCTAGAGTTCTAGAGTCTAGTTACACTCTAGTAAAGAAATCTAGTAGACTAGTACTACTAGATCTAGTAGTAGATCTAGAATCTAGATATTATATCTAGATCTAGAATCTAGTAGCCCTCGGCTGGTAAGACTACATTTTTCATTTTAGCCAGCGTATTTTATTCCCCGCTTCATGTTCACCTCCATTTGATGAAGCGATATTTTTCTAATCCGCAGGTAGATTCTAGATCTAGATCTAGATCTAGAATCTAGATCTAATCTAGCTAGATCTAGATTTCTAGATCTAGATCTAGATTTTTACATATGAACGTGAAGCGGCAAACAAAATAAAAATAAAATACGCTACCGCTGAAAATGGAGTTTTAGTTTTAGTATTTAGATCTAGATCTATGAGTCTAGATCTAAGTCTAGATCTAGATCTAGTTCTAGAATCTAGATCTAGAATCTAGATCTAGAATCTACCCCCAGCCTAACGGGCAGTAACGGCTAACGCCTAACACTCAGAAAAAATAATTTAATTTTAATAGTTAATAGTATTCCTACGTAATCTACGCTAAAACGATAATCTATTCCTAAATCATCATTTTATTATATAGATAGCTTCTACCTAGTCACCATTTAAAGGACAAATCATTGAATGTGTCCTGAAATGAACTTTTTTAAACGATGGCAAAACAATTGTTTTATTGTAAGAAGCCATCTTTAAAAAAAACAACAGAGTAGCTTCCCTTGAACCCTTTTC